CGATTTGAAACTTCAACATCCCCCCCCCCCTTGCCCCCTTAGGCAACCTCCTAGGTATTCAAACTTTTGAAGGATGTTTTGTTCACATTCCCATCCCCTTGAGCTAGGATTGTGTTCAAATGCCTTAACCCAAGTGCCAGCTTTAATTTCATAGATGGTCACAGTTTTTGTAAAGGCAAGAGCAGTGACAAAGGCTCTCTCCACATTGGCCAGCAATTGAGTGGACACTTTTGCTTTAACTCCCCACCCCAACCAGGAAAGGGTTCATTTTTCACACCCCTTACCACGGACAACAATCAAATGCCTTTGGGTTACTGAAGGGGGGAATTTGTAGCTTCAAATTGATCAGGCCTAATAGTGTTCTTGCTTTGGAGATCAAATTTGTGCTCTCAGAAGAATCTTCTAGTATCTGAACACTCTTGTCTTGGATATGGTCAAAATTATACAAGCAACAGATAGAGAAAATATGGCACCCTGTGGCATCTGGAAATTACAAGCAAACCAGGTGGGAGCTATAACAACCACAAGTTCCTTTCTGGTTTATTACTCTCTCTTTTGGGTTTACAGTTAGTATTAAAGTTACATCAAGAGAACACTATGTTTTCTGTCTCTAGCAGTCTGGACTCTCTAGATCAGATGGGTGCAAAGGTTTATTAATAATATACTGATATGCAACCTGCATATATTACAAGGTCTTTTTTCTTAAGTTGTACTTGCCTCAAGTTTATTGTTTGGTTTTGTTAATTTGTTAGCTTTGTGTTGATTTGGGCAAGCCCTTGACTTTCCTTTTAATGTTCCTCTAGATAATCAAAATAGTGTAAGGTATTCCACTAACTTGTTGGAACATGTACTACAAAGCTGAAAGCTATAACATGTTGATTACATGTATTGATTGCTTGGTGCCCCATATTGCCCAACAGATAAACTAATATATATAGGGATGGGGGGGAGTAAGGGAAGTGTCTCTTGTGGGCATATCTTAACTGGATAGCATAAAACAAACATTTCAGCAAATACATTTTCTGATGCTGTGGGTCATAATTTACAGTGATATATCATATTAATTTGAAATTTATCACAGTTAAATATATGTAAGATTTTAACTTGCATGGCTAATCAAGTGAAATCTGTCAGCTTAATTCTTAATTTACTGTAGAGAAGTTCTCACAATTGTTGTGGATGATAAATACAGAATATCTTTCATTACCATAACCAAAATCAGAAGTAAACAAAATTTCAACTAAGGACAAAGTTAAACAACAACATTCCCAACATACCTTCTGAAGGTTGACATATGTGGCTTATGGCATGATGAGAACATAATGATGAAAGATGACATCTAACAAGAAACAAGCTCAAAGCTAGTCATTAAAATTCTATGAAAAGTTTAAAATCTGTATCAAAGATCATTTGTTTTATTCATTTAATTATTTGCATGTATTTGCCAATAAAGAATTAATAAGAATAATAATTATTATTACTTTTCATTCATTTTCCTTTATCCAAAACCATTTCTTCATGTCTATTCTTTCGTTTGTCTGGAAAAAAAACAAATGATGGTGCTCTGAATGACCTTGCCTTCTGAGCGGGCAGTAAATCAAGTTATTAATGGAGAAATTTTCAATGGCATGTATGACTAATCTGAGGTCATATTACCTTTTTTTTTTTTTTTTACTTCATTTGCATTGTGATTGGTCCAGGAAACTTGTGCCACCACCCCAGTCAAATACAGCAGTAAAATTAATTTAGCCTGTTGTGCAGGTGCCTTATTAGGGCAAGTTAAAAAGAAGCCTGTGACGGTTTATTCAACCAGCCATGTCTAATTTGGAGTAAGAGTGGACAGTAGGGGGGAGGAAGGCAGGAAGGGGAAAAAAGACATGTAATATTCACTCCCCCACCCTCCCCCTCTTTATTTTTTATTTTTGCCTACCGCCTTGGTACAAATTTCTTTCTCTCCCCAACCTTCCACTTCCATTAAAATCGAAGATGGGGCCTTAATTTTCGTGAAGAATATACTGAGCACTCGCTGGCCAAAATTAACTCTACTAGCACTTCCATGGATCAACGTATCCCCCTAGAACACCAGGGTCGCTCAATCTTGAGCCCGTGATACAAACTGAAAACATTTCTTTAAACGATCACAGGTGGCTGAACAATTTCAACTCGTTCTGCTCATGAACAACTTGTAGAAAGAGGAATGCAAAGAAAAAGATATAAAATAGTGTAAATTATGGGCCAAAGTTGCAGTTTGATGTACTGCTCTTGTTGGGAAAACTGTGCGTGTTGTCAGTATGATTCGGCGATTTGTGGACCTCGATATGCACGGTATCAAAGCGACGATATTGATGTTGACATGGAAAATATTGTGGGTGATCTCCTCGAACTTGATCCTTTACAGTACGACAAGGAAAGTGGAACAGAAAAAATCAACGCTTGGATCGATGGAACTGTTCCTCAAGTCGGATTACCACCGAGTTTTGTCGCTATCAGCCGTGCTAAGTGCATTAAATATTGGCAAGTGTTACAGACGAAACCCACCGCTAAACTAAGCGGTTCTTTCGTGCGGTTTTGCTTCGAAAAACGTCCAAACGGCGAGCTACCTAGATTCCTTATAGAACACAAGGGAAAATCAGTGATCGTGAGAAGTCCTCAGGATCGAATGAAACTCAAATCCAACGAGCCCGAGGTACATGTTTGATGCACGACATTGCAAAATTAGAGGAAATATTGTCAAAAGAATATTTAATGAGCTGATGAATCGCAGGAGCTGTCAGCGATATTGCTGAATGACGTTTATCCTCATGACGAAAGGATGAAAAGAAAAAATCTAGTCTCTGAATATCTCTAGTGCTCCTCGAATGGGTTGTTGTCACTTTTTGTGGGGCCTTTTGTTCATTATTCACTCCGCCAGGACTTGAGATAAGCTGAAGAAAACGAGTGCCTACAGTGACAGAGGCATGACCCTGCATTATTTCAAGCTCGATTTATTTCCATATACGTTGCGTAAGGGAGATAAAAGAAGTTATATGTAATAGTACTAGTAATTTCGGCAAGATTTCCGTATAACCCCATACTTCATTATGCATTCAGTTCTTGGATAAAGGAAAGCAGAGGCAAAACAACAGATTTCCTTTGGGACTACGGCTTTGTTTTTGATTGTTATGGGATTATACGGAAATCTTTCCGTAATTTCAAAGCGTAGTTTGTGGTTATTTATTTCGTATTTATTTATCAGCGACATCGCGCGTAGTTTGCAGACTGAGATTTTCAGGATGTGAAAAGATGAAACACACCTTGGACTTGATCTTTCAATTCATCGTTTTCGGGGCAAATAGTTTTTCAAGAAGCAAAAAATTAGAATTAAGTTTCTCGATCGTCATCAATCATAATTTTAATATACTATTGCGACTACAGGGCGTTTAATTCTCAAAACTTGGGAATTTACATTTTCAGGAAGCAGATAGGCAAGGAGTCTTGATTAAAGTACATGTAAATGATGTTTGAAAAGCCTCAAATTCTTTGCAATGTTTACATTAATCGCTTTTAATAATTCAATCTGCATTTATAGAATGGGGGTATGTTTTGTTGGTAAGGCTTTAAGTGGACAAGGATTATGAATTAAAAACTTAGTTACATTCAATCTGTTAAATGTGTACATATATTAGCCAAAACCAGACAAATGAAGATGTTGTAAGTTATTTATATTATGAACTTTTAGAATGCATGGCTAGAAATGACAAAAAGGAGAATGAATTCCTTCCATTGAGTGTTATTTATTTAGTATATGTACAGCTATCAAAATTCATTCTTGAAATTGATTCTTTCTTGACAGTCAAGTCCTGACCAACAAGGAAGGGTTTCAGTGACTCAATAAAAATTTACTACTCAAGATTGGTAGATTAAAATTGCTGATAACTGTATTAAGTTAGACACAACACTTTTATAACTAAACATGTAAATGCCACAATACACATGCAGAATATGGTAACTGCCCTATTTATGGTCACTGTGTCATAATGCAATTTCTTTTCATGGGGCTCCAAGCACAACTTTAGTTGACCTCTTCTTTTCCCCTATCACTAAAAATCTATAGTATTCTTCACGTAGTTATTTTAAAAATGTTAATCACCTACATGTATAGTGATGGCTGATAATAGCAATATATAACAGAATTATCAGCCAGACAGGACACATTGATAATAACTGAGTCATGCATCATTATGCATTATTTGGGATGTGAGACACTTGCGAAGTTTGGACAGCAAAAAAGATAAAGAATACTTCATTAGAGCCCCATACAACCTTAGCTTCCTTTTAAAAACAAGCTAAGTTCGCTTAAGTAATCTCCTAACTTTCCATGATCTTCTGACTACAATGGACACCCCTGTTACACAAGGGAAATTCTCTCTTCTATGCTTTAGAGGACATACACCAGTTATCAGACTGAGCATAAAAAACAGGAGAGTGAAGCATGCTCATGCAACCATATAAATTCAATAGTTAACAAATGTAATGTTATGAATAGATGATATAATTCATTGAAACAGCCTGCTTTGGCAGAGTAAAGACATGGTAACCTAATATCATATGGTAAACTAAGTTTCTAATTAATGTTGAGAAGATGTAATAAATAACAGCACTTAGAGTACATTTTAAAAAGTTATAACCACATCGTCATTTGGAATAATTATAGTACTGGAAAACACCATTCCCAAATAACTATGAATCTTCCAGCAGAACGTAGGCTAAGAGTATTGTAAAAAGACACTCAGAGGTCAAGGGGATTAGATACCCCAACAGTTTCTCATCATTGCTGTGAACTCTTGATCACTCTCAAAGCCAAGGCTTACACCTTCAAAGTAATCCTCAAATTCCTGTTGGGTGATTAAAAAAAAAAGGAGACTATATTAATGATTAGCAATCACTTCCTTCAAAGAAGGTGATTGAATAAAGTTTATGAAATAAATCACAGATGCTGGGTTGTGGACAAACACTCAAGACCTGACAAGTAGATATTAATTAAATATACCAGTAACAATAATATTCTCTTTCCAAAGTAACATTATTAAGTGCTAGGAAATGGGGAATCACAACAATGTTTGCTGCAGAAAGCTAATTTACCTTTGCTACTAAACAGACACTTACAGGATATAAATTATGCATTCTAATGTACAAAGTTAAACACAACCTTAGCCCTTTGAATATTTGTAATATATTTCAGAAACACAATGCTTCCTATAATTTAAGACAGGCCAACTTTTCTATTCCTGGATACAACACAATAACTTATGGCAAACATTCACTATGCTATTTAGGACCTATTTATGGAGTAAACTGACAACTTATGACAGATCAGCCACAACATTAGCTAGTTTCAAAAACCGCATACGTAAGCGTGACCTCAGCTCCCTATTAGATGATGGCTGCAGGGGCTGTGCTCAATGTACTTCTTATTTCCTTTCATATTTTCTTTCATACATGATGACTTAATTTTATTCTTAATTAGGTAATATTCTTTGCAAATAATTTTTATCCATTTTATTTGTGTCCCCACATTAGCATGGGATATCTCCCAAACTAGAAGGTTCTTTGACATGTTAATAAAGTTTCTATCTATCTGGACAGTACCATTCATTTGGTGATGGACTGATGAAAACTCTCAGAAGCATAATTATTATGTACGTGTCCTTTCAGGCAAGGAAATGGAATTTGTAGTTGAAAAAGTCACTTTAATGTTAATGCCAGACAAAAATAACAATTTCGTATCCTTCATGATGAGCTGTATCAAATGATTGTGAAATTTTCATTGCCCACCATTTTGGGCCATCTGAAATAATCATTATTTTTCCTTAAGAAAAAGTAGAGGGCCACTTTAGAAAGAAGGGCAAATAATAAGTCCAGTAGCAAAAATGATAACATACTGCATAAGTTACTTGGCCCTTGTTCTCACAAAGTTGAAAGGCACTAAGAAAGGCTTCTTCAATTTCCCATTCCTGAGACTCCCCTGAAGAACAAAATGTAAGGAAAGGATTAAAGTTGTTGTTGTAGCTGTAATGTTAGATATATTGCCTGTTTAAGAATGTAACATAACAAGCTATTTTTATTACTTATTTAAAGCTTGTTTTGGTGGAAATCCTTGGTTATACATCTTCAATAAAAGCAAGTAGGATAATTATTTGGAATTGGTTATGCCTAATACATGACACTGCAGATTAAATCATTTAATGCATTGTATATTATGCTGTGGTTTGATTTAACTTTGAATGAAATCTCAAGCTGAGGTTTAAGTTTTGTGGAACTAAAATTAGATAAACCACTCATAAGCTTGAAACACCACCTGTATTACTGAGCCACTTGCTCTACTTGGAAATTATCACTGCACAGAGCAGTAAAAATACCTGATGATTCTCACTTTGTTGGGCATTATGGCACATTTTGTCGCCTAAAGTGAAGAATTTAGCCCACTCCAATGCTTGGTTGATTGTTCAGACTGTTATGTTGTCATGTTTTTCATTTTTTTTTTTCTCATCATGCCCTCCAAAGTGTTAATAATTGTTACATTAATACACGTTATGTTCCTAATGGCCAACTCTGAGTTGGGCCCAAGAAATTTTTATTGCTGTGAACATATATAAACGCTAATTCTTTTATTACCTGAAATAACTTTTGGGTGTTTTTTAGTGCAGTAAAACTTTTTTACATCATTCAAATTAACCACTCCACTTTTGTTAGGGTCCAACTTCCGGAACACCTGTTAAACAACACTCTTAGTCAAGTTCAGCATTCATGCTGGTTATAAGTTAAGGGTTACGAATGATTTTACAGAGACAAATCTATATGGTTGCACAAACAGAGTGAGGTTCACATGCATAATTATGTCTAAGCCTCACATAAATTAAGGCACTAAAAAGGCTGACACATAAAAGTGTCTAATTAACAATTATTCCACGAGTGCACGTTGGATATGAGATGATAGATAGCCAATGAGGTGCATTAAGCGCCAAGTTGGCTTTAATCATCCCATATCCAACAAGCGCGAGTGGAATAATTGTTTTATTAAAAACGCCCTCAAGAAATTATTATTTTGTAAGAAGAAACTGGATTTTTTAGCTCCCTTTTGATTTTAAGCTGACGCGTATGCTTACCATATTTGTAGATTATGGTATATTGGCTGATATACCATAATGGCTAAGCCAATAAAAAGTCTTGAATTGCATTATCCAATGATCCACTTTTTAATAATTAACAATTATTCCATGTGCGCATGTTGCTTATGAGATGATAGATAGCCAATGAGGTGCATTAAGCGCCAAGTTGGCTTTAATCATCCCATATCCAACAAGCATGAGTGGAATAATTGTTTTGTTAAAAAAACACCCCCAAGATATTAGACAAATCTTCTTGACTTTATTTTGTGAGAAGAAACTGCATAGTACAATGTACAGATATTAGATTATGGTATATTGGCTCATATACCATAATGGCTTTAGCCAAAAAAAAGTCTTGAATTGCAATATCCAATGATCCAGTTTTTAATAATAACTGATATGCCCCCAGCCCATATGTAAACGAAGCAACATGCCAGCAATACTATCTGTGTCGAAGAACAAAATGAATGATAATAGGACAATTCTCTACAAAATGTATATTAAATTAAATTCTAAGGGTATGATTTCACAGAGACAAATCTATATGGTTGCACAAACATTTACTCCAAAGCACAGCCGAGTTCACATGTCTAAGCCTAACATAAAAGCACTAAAATGTTAAGGCAGACACAGAAAAGTGTCTAACAGCTGATATGCCCCCAACCCACACCTAAAGGAGGCAACATGCCAAAAACACTATCTGTGTTGAAGACCAAAATGATAATAGGACATTTCTCTACAAAAGAGAGAAGATCAAAGCGGTTTAATAATATGTCTTTCTCTAAAAGACAATTTAAGTCCTGTCTCTTAGATCTTCACTGGTACAGAAATCACAACTCGACAAGTGGCTTCATCAGGACGTGTCAAATAAAAATTAATAAAATACAAAAAAAAAGGGAAATGTGTCAACCATTAATAGAACTAATGGTTGGAGCACCTTTTAAAGGATGCTTCTTTGCACAATGAATGCAGTTTGTTTTAACATTGCTAGCCAGGGAAAAACTGTGAAGATTGACATGACTGGTCAGGATAAAAGAGGGAAAAGTTCTAATAAAAGAAAGTAAGATAGCGATGTTAAGGGCCACTTGTAATAAAGAGAGCAGAGCATAGATTGGTAACAACTAAATGCCTTTGAAAAACCACCTTATGATTTTACTTACCTCTCTAACAGAGGACTTCCTTAATTCATTCATTTCACCAATAAATCCTCTTGAGAACTCTCCATAATCTAAGAACCCATCTTGATTTATGTCAAGCACATTCCATAAACGATTAAATGTCTAAAGTGTAAGAGAGAGGCACTTGTCTAGTTATTATCTAAAATTCTGTTGTGTTTAACATCAATTAAATCATTCTCAACTTAAGATATACCCATGTTGCATTCCAAGCTTTTAATTTGGGTGGCCCTTAAGATGATTGAAGCACTCAAAAATTAATAATAATAATAATAATAATAATAATAGTAATAATAATAATAATTATTATAACAATGGAGTCAAATCTGAACAGAATCAAAGTCTAATATCTGATAAGAAAAAGCATATCTAAAACTATACAGAAAAGAGAAAGGTGAATGGCAAATCTAGAACCCTATATATAAGGCTGCTAAAATAATAATAATAATAATAATAATAATAATAATAATAATTGTAATAATAAATAAAAAAAATAAAAATAATAATAATAATAATACTCTGACCCGTGTATGAGTCAGAGAATGTTACCGGTAAAGCTTATTGGGATGTCCCTATATATGCTGATCAACAAGAGGTCAGATGCAATAGGGTGGATGCACGCATTGTAAAT